ATCTGGTTTTTGCAGTTAATTAATCCGCATTCTGATCTGGTTTATGCAGTAGTTTAATCTGGTTTCTGATCTTGTTTATGCAGTAATTTAATCTGGATTCTGATCTGGTTTATGCAGTAATTTCATCTGGATTGTCATCTGGTTTGCACAGTAATTTAATCTGGATTTTGATCTGTTTATGCAGTAATTTAATCCGCATTCTGATCTGGTTTATGCAGTAATTTAATCCGCATTCTGATCTGGTTTATGCAGTTAATTAATCCGCATTCTGATCTGGTTTATGCAGTAATTTAATCTGGATTGTGATCTGGTTTGCGCATAATTAATCCGCATTCTGATCTGTTTATGCATTTATTTAATCTGGTTTCTGATCTTGTTTGCACGGTAATTTAATCTGGATTGTGATCTGGTTTATGCAGTTATTTAAACTGGTTTCTGATCTTGTTTGCACAGTAATTTAATCTGGTTTCTGATCTTGTTTGCACAGTAATTTAATTTGGATTGTGATCTGGTTTCAGAGGTGCTGTGTTGGCCCATGCTGCTGTCCACATTCAGTCACTATTCTCTCTTTCACATGGCGGCCAACATGTACGTGCTCTGGAGTTTCTCTTCGAGCATCGTCAACATGATGGGCAAAGAGCAGTTCATGGCGCTTTACCTCTCCGCAGGTCTGTGTCATTTACGAGTTTTCAGATTTCTAAAACCATCCTACTCCCTATAAATTCATCAGTGTTATTGGATTTCATCTTTCTGTCCCCATGTTCTCAGGTGTGATTTCTACGTTTGTCAGTTATGCTCTCTCTGTGTGTCTGTCTGTCTCTCTGTGTGTCCGTGTGTGTGTCTGTCTGCCTGTCCCTGTCTGTCTTTGTGTCTCTCTGTGTGTCTGTGTTTGTGTGTGTGTCTCTCTGTGTGTGTGTGTCTGTCTGTCTTTGTGTCTGTCTCTGTGTGTGTGTGTGTGTGTGTGTGTGTGTGTGTGTGTTTCTCTCTGTCTGTGTGTGTGTGTGTGTGTGTGTGTGTCTCTGTGTGTCTCTGTCTCTATGTGTGTGTGTGTGTGTGTGTGTGTGTGTGTGTGTGTCTGTCTCTATGTGTGTGTGTGTGTGTGTGTGTGTGTGTGTGTGTGTGTGTGTGTGGGTGTGTGTCTGGGTGTGTGTGTGTATTCCCGCAACATCGTCTCCATGTGCTATTATCCTTCTCTTCTGAAAGCTCCTGTTCTCCATCTCTCTGTCTGTCATCTTATCCTCTGCACAGGTACGTCAGGATTAATTAAAGCCCAAGCAGCAAATCAACACTCATTTGTGGTTTCAAATAAACCCATTACGCTTTTTATTTATTGAGTAAAACAGCAATGGGTCGGTTTGGTCCATCACTGGGGGCGGTGAGTGTGTTTTCAGATTAAACGTTTCAGGTTTTCATCAGTGTTCATGTGAATGTTTTGAACAGATTGTTGTGTTGTGTCAGTCAGGGGCCATCATGGCCGTCCTAGCGGCTGTTTGCACCAAAATGCCTGAAGCCAAACTGGCCATCATCTTCCTCCCCATGTACACCTTCACCGCCGGAAACGTGAGTCTGTGTGTGTGTCTGTCTGTCTGTATGTCTCTCTGTGTATGAGTGTGTGTGTGTCTGTGTGTCTGTCTGTGTGTGTGTCTCTGTGTGTCTGTGTGTGTGTGTCTCTGTCTGTCTGTCTGTGTGTCTCTCTGTGTGTGTGTGTGTCTGTGTGTGTGTGTCTCTGTCTGTCTGTCTGTGTGTCTGTGTGTGTGTGTGTGTGTGTAAGAGAGAGCTTTTGTTTAGTAATGATGGCCACATTCTCATGATCTTCTCCTGCCAACAGGCTCTTAAGGCCCTCGTCGCCTTGGATACCACAGGCTTGATTCTGGGATGGCGTTTTTTTGATCACGCAGCTCATTTAGGTGGAGCTTTATTCGGCATGTGAGTAACCCGTCTCTGCTTTCACATACATTTAGATCTGTCTAGCTGAAAGGAGAAAGTGTAGTTATTACTAAAACTGTTAAATATGTTTTTTGTTAAATTAATTAAAGCTAAAATAAATAAAAAACTGAAGTGAAAATTAGACTGGTTGCCTTGACAACTAACACAAAAAAAGGTTAACATTAAGTAGTAAAATCACTAAAACTAAACATAAATTAAAGTTAAATAGAAATATTATAAAATAATAAAAATGTCAAAAGCACATAACAAGCTTACTCAAATTTAAACGAAAATTAAAACTAAAATATAAAAATAAAACCTAATTCAAAATATTAATAAATATTATAATAGTATATAAATATTAAAATAACTTGTACCTGTGTTATTTCAATATCATTGATATTATATTATATTGTAACGAGAGGGGCGGGGCCGAGAGCCGTGGGAACAGAGCGAGGCCGGTGGAGTAATTGCGAATGCGCGACACCTGCGCCACTCACCGGTCTCGAGTCTCACGGAGGAGCTCCGGAAGGATACAAAGGAGGAGTGACGACAGAGCAGGTGACATGAAGAAAAACACAAGACTGAGAAATGGACACTGATATTCATGCACTTGAAGCTCATATTGTGTTGATTGTTCTGTGAGAGAGTCATAGAGTGAGGTCCGTTTCAGTCACAGTGAGTAACGGTAGTACTGCTGGGATGTCATTATGCTCCGCCCCCGATTTTAAATTTGAGTCCAAGTAGCTCCGCCCCCTCTTTGCTCGAAATGCAAATGTATCTAAAGGGGCGGAGCTTCAGCACACAGCTCTGAGGTCGCTATAGGTCTCAGTGACATTTGACACAATGTACAGAAACGTAAATGTTTAAAATGCGACTGTCATTTTGAAAAATAAAATAATTTAAAAATCTGTTGTTAGAAATGATCAGGTGTCAGCTTTTGTTTTATTTGCTATAATTGTGTGTAACATTGTTCTGCTTACATTGTTTATTTTCTAAGTTTCAGATGAGACTTTGGTCCTTGTTAAATGTGAATGATTAACCATGTTTCTCTATAACACACACACACACACACACACTCACCTGCGCTATACGTCAGTATAGAAACCGTTTCAGTGTTGTTTTCTCAGATCGACCAAAGTTCAGTAACAGTCATGGCATCATAATGGCTCATGAACAATGAGTCTGTTTTTCACTTCCTCATGTTTTTATGAACTCAGTGTATCGCTCGTCTCTTCCTGTTTCCCAGTTATCACTCGTTCCTTCGCATCATTCTGAGTCACACACGTCACTCGTTTTGCTGTCTTCTGGTTTTTGTTTAATTAATCACACAATTTGGGTTTCATGAAAAAATGTCCAGGTCATATTTCACCCCAAAAAATATTTATTTAGCTAAAATAAAGTTTTTGTTGACATTTTGCATATTTCTTTTTTTTTTTCTGTTGTAAAAAGGGTCTGATTAAAAGTTCAAAAGTTTGTGGTCGGTAAGATTTTTATTTTTGGTGAAAGAAATTAATACTTTTCAACCAGGATACATTAAATTGATGAAAAGTGACTGTAATGACATTTATGTTACAAAGATATGTTGTTCTTTAGAACTTTCCATGCAGCGAATAACCATAAAAATCTGGTTTCCACAAAAATATTGTGCAGCACGACTGTTTTCAGCGTTGATAATAATCAGAAATGTTTCTCTGACATTTTTAAACAAATTTACAATTAAAAATTTTTATTTCCATTTATTATTATTTACAAATATTATCATGACATAAATATTTAATAAAAAAATATATATAAGAATTTTGAACAAATCTTTAAGAAAAGGTTTAATTTCATGCACTATACAATTTTGTATTTGGTTTACTTTTGATATTTACTGTAGTACTGCATCACTACCGTATTCATATACCATGTTACTTGAACTCATATCATTCATTAGTTTCGGCTCAGATTCTTTATCTTTTTGCTCACCAAGGCTGCATTTATTTGATCAAAAATACAGTAAAAATTGTGAAATATTATTACAATTTAAAATAACTGTTTTCTATGTGAATATCTGTTAAACTGTAATTTATTCCTGTGATGCGCAGCTGTATTTTCAGCATCATTCCTCCAGTCTTCAGTGTCACATGATCTTCAGAAATCAGTATAATATGCTGATCTGCTGCTCGAGAAACATTTCTGATTATTATCCATGTTGAAAACAGTCGTGCTGTTCATTCACAGATGAATAGAAAGTTCAAAAGAACCGCATTTATATGAATTTGAAATCTTTAGTAACTTTATAAATGCCTTTACTGTCACCTTTCATCAATTTAATGCATCCTTGCTGAATAAAAATATTAATTTCTGACCCCAAACTTTTTGAAAGGTAATGTATTTGAAAATTAAAGATAAAATGTAAGAACTTGTATTTTGCATAATAAAAAAAAGGTCTGTTTTGACATAATTTTCAAGAAATTTACAATGAATTTTTTTTTTTTATTACTTAAGTCAGAATAATTGAAAGGTGGTACAACAAACACTATAATGACATTTAAATATTTAATATAATTTATTTAAATGAAAAAAAACAATTTCAGAATAATCATAATGGTCTCAAGAACAGGCTTAATTTTCATGCAAAATAGAATTAATTGATGAATTAATTATAAATGATATTTTTGCTTTTGCTTTTGGTGGTGAAATATGACCTGGACTTAATAGTATGGTACTTTGATATTTACACACTCAGAAACAAAAGGTACAAAAAGCTAAAAGGTACATTTAGCTCTAAATGGTACATATTTGTAATGGTACATTTTGAAAGGGTACCATGCAAGTAACAGTTTTTACCTTTTTTCTGAGAGAATACTATGGTATTTCTCTCATGGAAATGTTCAAATATCATACTTTAGTACTGCCATAATTGATACTGCCGTGGTAGATGCATGCACCCTTAGTCATTTGTAAAGATATACTGAAGCTCGTATGTGTTTCTGATGTGATGTGTTTTGTAGGATATATCCAGGCCTGTCGAGCTCTGATGATAATCGCTCTCATTCTGGGTCTGCTGGCTGTCATCATGGCTGCGATGGGACTCAAGTGCACTAAACTGGGCAGCACGTCTGAGGAGTCGAAGGGCAAGATCAGCCTCACAGCCGGAGTCATGTTCATGCTGTCAGGTCAGTATTACCACACACACTCTGACTGATTTATCTAATTCATGTTCACATGTTCTGCCTGTTCTCTCTCTCAGGTCTGTGTGTTATGGTAGCCGTGTCGTGGTACGCCGCTCGAGTCGTTCAGGAGTTTAATGATCCTTTTTATGGAGGAACAAAGTGAGTAAAAACTGTGAAGTCGGACATATGAAATAATAGTCTGAAAAAGGTTTTGAAATTGTTTATTGAAACTTCAGACAAAATATAAAAAAGACTGTGCATTTGTGTTTTTTTGTTGAGTGTCATATTTGATCCATCAGGTTTTTATATCATCATGTGACTTTCTCATCACCTCCTGCATTTGGTGGTTATCAGTGTATTACAAAGCTACAAAACAGATTTCAGTACTTCAATAGGATTTGGTATAGGAACATTATATCAGTTCATGAAATTACGGTATTTAACTGTAAATTTAAGTTAAAACCGTAAAACCTAAAACGTTGCTACCGTATTTTTTACGGTAAAATTCCAGCAACCACAGCTGCCGGTTTTTTACCGTAAATTTTACGGATTTTTTTTTACAGTGAGTAGATTGTGTTTTTCAGCAAAGTTTTGATCATCATTTAGAGGCTTTAGAAACTTGCGTATTAAACATGATACAGAAGGTTTTATAGGGTTAAGACACCCTTTTGGACATGAAGCATGCTGTAGCCTGATGTAAATGCCATTATAAATGACTAAATACGCTCACATGCGGATGTTTCAGGTATGAACTGGGCGCTGGTCTGTATCTGGGATGGGCGGCAGCAGCTCTGGCTATACTGGGCGGAGCTATCCTCTGCACTTCCTTTAAGAGCTCAAGACCTGCCAAAACACGGTAAGTCTCTACGTGTGTCCGAGATGGATACGAGCTCTAAAACTCACCTGTGACCAACACAAGTCATTCTGTTATTCTCTCTCTGGTTCTCAGGGGTCACAACTATAACTACAGCGCTTCACAGCCGCAGAAGATCTACAGATCAGCCCCGTCAGAAAACAGTGTCTCCAAAGCTTATGTCTGAGTGTCTTATTTTGGCTTTCTTTTTTTTGTACATGGATGTGTGTGTATTTTTTTGTACTTGCATTTTAGAAGTCAACGCATTGAGCTTATTTAATTGACTTACTTTGCATGATTCATCAGTGTTTGAGTTCTTATTTCATAATCTAGCATCAAAGCGTAAAATAGCTTTCTCAGCTTATATGAAAAGACTTCAGTCTTCAAGTCCAATAGATGCCGGTGGCATTTCAGATGAGGATTTCAATCAGCTTTTACTCAATTCTGATATGAAGCACTCACTTTTCTCTCAGAAAAAAAGGTACAAAAGCTGTCACTGGGGCGGTACCTTTTCAAAATTTACACTTTTGTACCTTTTAGGTACTAATATGTACACTTTAGGTACTTATATGTATCTTTTAAGGTACCAATATGGACTCTTTAGGTACAAAGGTGTGTCTTTTGAAAAGGTACCGCCCCAGTGACAGCTTTTGTACCTTTTTGTACCTGTGTGCGTGTATAATATAGTGAACTAAAACCAAATCCAAAACCTTTGAAAAAACTTTTGTTACTTGAAATATAATGATAATAAATAAATATTTATTTTTCATTTAGTTTAACTTGATGTACTAAAATAACTAAAACTGAATTTTTAAAAAAAAATGTTTTTCTGCAGTTATCAGCCAAACCTCAGAGCTTTCTTTCCTTTTTAGGCTAATTATGTTGGAGACTGAATTGTTTTATTGAAAATAGTGTATAACTTTTAGTGTGGTGTGCTGAACTTGTAAAGACATGGTTGATTGCTTTCGCCAACAAACCTGTTAGAAATGTACTTTGTCCCTTTAAATGAAATATACTTCTCTGGATCCTTTTGGGTAGATCTTGACAATACATTTACATAAAACAATACCTTTATAACTCTTATCTTGATATTTCTTGACAATGCAATTATATCAGACAAGGAAAAGCAGATGACAAATCTATTATTTTAGGCAAAAATGCAAAATGGGAACAGTATAAATAAGCCTTTGTACTGTTATGACTTATTTAGAGAAATATAAATAAAATGCTTTTAAAACTGCACAGGCTTAACTCTAAACTGTACTTAAAAAGAATCATTTGTTCAGCATATTTTCCTGAAAATACTACTTATTTTTAGTTTTTTTTAACACATTTATTCAAATAACTGATAATGGTCTTGTTCATGATACAGGTTTATTGGGAGGTTGACATTACAATTCAAATCCGTACTCTATTTCGAAAATATCACATGTGGGAATTATACCAAGTATTAGCTTGTTTCCCAGTGCTTTCCCAAATATTTTATGCAACTAATGTCCATTTCTTTTCTTATACTCTTGAGTCATAAAGGCTTCAAATAGCATAACAAATAAGGTGAGA